TTTTGGAAAATGCCCTTTTCTGTAATTTTATATCTTTCAGCTAGCTTATCAGCTAGTTTTTACCAAACACTTTTTTTTATCGGCTAGCTTATCAGCTAGCAGCTAGTTTTTTATCCATCAGCTAGCTTTTCACCTATCAGCTAGCTTTTCAGCTACCAGCTAGCTTTTCAGCTAGCGTGCCAAACGCAGCCTAAATGTGCATCAGTCCAACCATAATTAAACATAGGTGACCATTCTGCGTTTTGTTGTGGTTCGGCCCATGTACAACAAACTTAGCTAAGGTGTTTGACCTAAAACCTTGTGTTGTGATATATGTAATTTTATGCATGTTGTATGGTAGTTTTTATTAGTGTCTTGCATCATATTTTATGTTTTTTTTCATGTGCGTTAGTTTAAATAATGTTTAGCTCATGTATTTTGTTAGAATTCCCATACTGCTCATGTTTTTATGTCACTTTCAGATACTTCGAGTCGAGCGATACTTTGGAAGAAGCTTGGATGCATATTTGGAGCTTAATGGAGCTAAAATACCTAATGCAACTAGAACATGCGTTGGATTTGCTGAAACTAAAGAGTTCATGTCCGAAATGTGCATTTTTAAGAAAACACGATCGTGTTTTTCCCTATATGAATGTGCTTTACCTTCATAACTTTTTTGGGCCAGAAATCAAGTTTCGGGACTTCGAAGACAAAACACGGTTGTGTTTTGCCTAAACCACGATCATGTTTGACATATATGTGTCAGATTTAGAAGCGTACTTCATTAATAGACCAATTCGCAGCTTTTTAAGGAAGGGCGCGAAACGTCTTGTCCGTGTTTTTTCGGATTCCTTGGTTTTGTTGTTTTGTTCATGTATAAATCCCCCATTTGAACCCTAGTCGCCAGAAACAATTCCTAGTCGACCAGAGATTATTTTTGAGGTGATTTTTCTCAGTTTTCACCACTTTCTGAAGATCTAAAGGTTGTGGATTGTGTCTGTCATATAGTCTAGTAAGAATTAGTATAACATCCGGATCCTCAAGGTATCGAATTGTAAGTAAATTATGAGTTTTTAGTGGGTCACGATGTGAGGGTGGCACCGTTACGACGTGACATGGCCGCAAGAGACATGGGTCTCATTTAAGTGCCATGATGTGACGCTATGATGGTGACAACTGGAAAACCCTAATTTTCGGACTTGGACCTTATTTAAAGGAAGTTGGTGGCTAGGGTTTCCTTCGCCCTCAGCCTCCATCGCCTCCTAAACCCCCTTGAAGAAACTCTAATCCATATCCTCCATTTTTTAGCTCATCTTGGTGCTTTTGGTTGCTTTTGAACGAAGAAGAAGGCTTTGGTAGTGTTGTGAGCATCTTGGCAACCTTTGGGACTTCATTTGGGCATCTGTGGACCTTTACAAGTGTTCAAGATCAAAACCTTATTGTTCTAGGTTGCTAGATCTAACTTTTTTTATCCCTTTATCTTCAAGTTTGAACAAGTTGAAATGGTGGGATTCCATAAAGTTGGCAAGTTTACGGATCCTTGAGGTTCTTTCAATTTTATATTCTTTGGATCTGAAGTTTGTTAGTGTATTGAATCCATGCATGAGATTCTTGGTGTTTTCCCTCCATTTTGACCTAGTTTGAGCTTTAGACTTACAATTGACATGTGTGGCTGAAAAACATCAATCTTTAGGCTGTATTGGACGTAAGGAAGCCTTTTGGAAGGACTGAGTGGATAGATTAATGGTTGGAGATCTGAATCTATTAAGCTGTGGAAAGTCTAGTTTCACAACATGACAACCTCCTAGTCATTGAGAGAGGGGGATTACCGGTTATTTGGACTGATTATGTCATGATGTGATGGGCTGATCATCACGACGTGACAGTAGCTTGAATTTTTACTGAGTTTGATCATGACCGATTTTGTGATTATGTCGAGTTCATTTTCTGCACGACATGACCAAGGGTTGGTCACGACGTGAGATTTAGCAAATAGTGATGTTGATCGTTGACTTTGACTTTGACCTTTGACTTGTTCACCTAGGTTAACTTTTGGTCAAAATTTCTAGTTCTAGAGTACACACTAAAGTTTTGACCTTGTTTGATTTGATATGTTAGTTGTTGGATGCTAGTTCTGTAGCATGCTAACTGTCTTTTTGACTCTTGCATTGTATGCAGGGCTGGGCCTATTTGTATGTTAGGATGGGCCCGTTTGTATGTTGGGTTGGGCACGTTTGTATGTTGGGAGGGGCACATTTGTATGATGAGTGGGGCCCGATATGATGGGCAAGGTCAGATGTTATGTATGGTATGTGGTATTTTGGGGAACTCACTAAGCTTTGTGCTTACTATTTTATGGTTTAAAAATTTTTAGGTACTTCCAGTTCCTAATGGAAGTGTCCAACTTGACTGCACAACATCCCCTGTTGATTTTCTGCATTGATGATTGTGATACATTTTACTATGACTGATTTTGGAGCAAACATTGTGGGAATTTGATGATTTGAAAATCAAAAATTTTATTAGTATTTTTGGGATGTTACAATTAGTAGTTTAATCTTTCTTTTCATTAGTTTTGATTGGATTTTAGCCATGCCTGGCTAAATCTTAGATTTCAATTCTACAAGATTAGTACTTTTTATGTAATCAATCATTAGATCTGGTTTTTAATTTGTGATTCTATCTAGTTATTTCAGTTTTGTGCTTAATGAATGCTTGATTTTAGTACTTTTTAGCCAGATCACCTAATTTAAGATTAAATCAATCTAGTTAATCAAATAATGGAATCCACAATTGTTCTAATCAACTGGTAATAAGTAACAAATAATAAATTGGTTCCGTGTTGGGAGTTGATTCTGTTAAAAACTGGAATTTCATATTTTTACGCTTCCGAGCTTGTGAGAAGTATTGCAATATTCCTAGGAATTTTACACATATCATAATGCTGCTTTTCTAACTTGATTAAGAGTTGGTTTAATTAGGTTAGTAAAAAAGTTAGGATTAACTAAAAGAGTTAGTTTTAGTTAATTAACTAGGTAAAAGAGAATGTACTAGAGCTTATTAGTTGTTCTTAGTACCACCGTAGATAGAACACATTATAAATAACTAGGCCTCCTTTGATTGCATTAGGGGTGTTAATGGGGCGGTTCGGTTCGGGTAGTAATAAAATTATAAACCGTCACCATGGGGGCGGGTACGTCATGTACACTAATCGAAACCGAACTGAATTAGTAAAAAACCGAACTGAACCGAACCGTATAAGGGCAGGTGACCACGATTCGGTTCACGAGTACCCGCTAAATATAAAAAATTAAATACAATCAAAAGTACAAACTCCATTCCAACGATTTATTTCTAAAAATCAGTAAGTTCAAGAGTTATAAAAACATAATGAAGTTCAGATAACATACATTATAATTGGTATAATAAATATAAAAATAAAAATACAAGAAAACATAATGTAGAAGTGTAAAACTGGAATTGTCGATCATGATTTTTGTTTGGGATATGGCTAACAGTTCAATGGAAATGAATAACATTTTTTTAATATATATATATATATATATATATATATATATATATATCAAGCGGTTCGGTTCGTTTATTCGCGGATACCTAAGTATCCAAACCAAAACCGACCCGTTGATATCCCGTTTTTTTAAGTTTTGGTTTTCTTTCGGTTTCGGTTTTTTTGGTTCTGGATCGGTCGGTTCGGCTCGGTTTTTTGGTTTTTTTGCACACCCCTAGATTGCATAATTAGGAAAGTCGTAACTGAATTGAAATCACTTTTTATTATTGAATTTACTTTATTTTATTTTCACTGTTGTTTAATTAATAATTTACAACAAAGTCCCCCTTTTTTATTTTCTGTTTTATGACTAGTATGTGTGCCATAAGAAAAGAGGCATTGAACACTAGACTGTATTCCTGAGGATTCGACCCTGCTTCCCTATGCTATTCTTTAGTGCATTCGAGCAATGATACTTTATTTGTTTCGGACGAACGCGACAACGTTTTAACACGTTGTATTAGTATTCGAGGGTTCGAGTTTATATATAACTCTATATTTGTAGGTTACGGTATATACCTAACCTAAGAGAGCAAGCCCTACGCCATAGTCATGCTTTCCTAAAAAAGTACTAGTTCGCTATAGCCAATAGCTCTGATACCAATCTGTCACATCTCGACCGCCGGTGGAAATGTCGAGGTGCGCGACGTAAATTAGCAAGGTTCTAAATAACGTAAGACGTGACTTGGCGGCAATGTCAAGCCTCAAGCTTTTTTGAATCGTGGCGAGCAACGTCGTTTGTAAAGCATGACTTAAGGCGGAAATTTTGTATATAATTAATAATTTTTTATATATCACTACAAAATAAACAACCCTTTAATGACGCGCAAACAATGACACTCGCTGATAGAGGACGCGCATTTGTACGTGCCCTAAAAAATAATGGTAGCTTTGCAAAATTTGAAGGATAGAGGACACGCATTTGTGCGCGCCCTAAAATTAGTGTCAGAAAAGAAAAAAAAAGAAATGCGGAGGGCGCCTTTCATAAAATGTGCGTCATGTAAATGTGTAGCTTTATAATTTTTAAGTGAAACACGCGTTTTAGGCGGGAAATGAAATCGACGAAAATTACCCCCGCCTATTGGATCCCAAAAATTAATCCCCCCGCCTCAAGAAAAAGCCTTAGGGCCTTCATCTTCATCTTCAGCGGTGGGAATACCTAGGTCGATTCTTCAGGGTTCAACAACAGATTTGTAAACAGCAAACGTATACGATTCTGGATCTCGGCATGATTATGGCGCTTTGGAGCCGGCGACGTGAATTTCTATGGTTTCGATTATTGAGTGAGGTACAGGGACGTGTAATCGTTTTGGACTCTTTACTAATTGAGTTGAAATTGAACCCTAAAAACTCAATCCACACTTCTAACTTCTCTGATTCTCTCTTCTTCCGCTCCCAAATCTCCTTGGTGGCGCTCTTTCCATTTCCATTTCCAACCTCAAACCACCGCTAAATGGAACCCAACAATTCAATTAATCAAATCGACAATCACATCGACGATGACGGTGATCAGAACTCATTTCCAAGCCACCGTCATCAGATCATCGCCTATTCAAGCAAGAGAAAACACTCTCAATCTCAGGTAATCACACCAATCGATTCAACACAAGTAAACCCTCTTTCCGAATCATCAGTTCTAGGGCTTGTTCTCCTTGCTCATACGTTCTCATACGATATTCAAAACCTCACTGAGTCTCTCCTTCTCGAAATCCTCGCAAGATTGCCCCTGAAATCAATTTTTAGGTTCAAATGTGTTTGCAAACACTGGCTAGACCTAATTTCTCAGCCTTCATTTGCCCGTTTCTATTGCTCGCGTATGCTCACAGCCAGCAATAGCTCACGTGCCACTTCATCTTTCTTTATCTAAGTTTTGCCTTGACTTGCCTGTGCATTTTGTTACTGATGGTGCGTCAAAAGCTAAATGCTTACTTAATGAAATGTTTAATAAGAAGGTTGAAAAGTCACTAAGACACAGGTACATTCAATTTGTGTATCATATGTTTAACATTTGAAGGGGGAAATGCTCATTTATTTGACTCCTAAGTGTTGTAGGAGACTGGAACATCAAGGAAGATGGCAGGGTAATCATGTGATTTCAATAGTTGAAAGTATGCTATGCTATTTCCACTTTAGTTCATTCTACTACTAATTTCATGTTCCTTTGGACTATGAGTAGTATAAGGTTGAAGAGAGGGGTAAAAATGTCATTCCTAACAAACAATCCATAATTGGTGATGGATCAAAGGTTTTAAATAATTATATCTCTATTTATCAGCTTGGTTTTTTATTTAATTTTTATATAATCTAATTTATGTTAGTGTCTGTGGCAAATTGGCAGAAGATGACAGGTGCATGTGTGTATTAATAAGAAGATATCAAAAGTGGTAACTCTCTCAAAGTAGCTCGCTTGCATTAGCTATAATCTTGTAAGTTAGTTTTAACATTTTTCTTATGTGGATAATTGTAGATGATGATAAATATTGATTCTGTTTTTTGTTTGAAAAAAGGGATGCTTTACCAAATTTAGGGGTGGCTTGGAAGTCTTCAAATGCTTTTATATTATTTGGGGGTGGCCTGGACAAAAGGACTGTACATTGTGCACTGTGGTATGGATCAGTATGTTCTCCATCTCTCACTTGATTATAATTTATAGAGTAAATTACCCAAATGCTTTTATATTATTTAAGAAATGGATAGAAAAAGAATATAAAATGTCAATTTATGTATATAGGATGTTGCGATCAAGTTATTTGAATATCAAGAGTATCCAGAGGATTTGATGGTATCATTTAAACAGGAGGTAACTATTATTTTCGTAAGTAGCATCAAGCATGCTAATTATCATCTTTTCCATATTTCTTTTGATTTGTTTGTCTTATTTGTGATTCTCTCAAGGCACGAGGCATAAATTGTCTTCATCATTGCAACCCACCGATTATTCACCGTGATTTGAAGTCTTCAAATCTTCTTGTGGATAAGAATTGGACATGTTCAAGATGAGTAAGAAGAAGAAGAAGACCGAGAAAAGTGCTGCAGAGATTGCATTACTTGTTGAAAATGTGATGGCTGAACTTGAAGTTGTAGCAGAAGAAGATGCAGAGCTAAACAGACAATCAAAACCAGCTATTAATAAACTCAGAAAGTTGCCACTTCTAACTGAAGTACTATCTAAGTAAAGTCTTTTATTTGCAAAAGTCAAACATCTGTTACATAGTATTGTTTATATCATTTACCTTTTTAAATTCTTAATGCAGGAAACAACTTCAATTAGAGTTTCTAGATCATGGAGTTCTAGAAGATCCTAACTGAGGTAGGTATAGAATCAACCAGGATTAATTATATGCCTTTTTTATGTTGTTATAACTAATTATTAGTTGTTCTTATCCTCCAGTTCCCAATTGATTTAGATCAATATGATAGAAAAGAGCAATTAAAGAAAAGTGAGCACTATAAGGAAACTGTAATTGTTCTATATCCCCACCCTTTCTTTATACTACTTAAAGCCTTTAGAATTCTCTCCTTGTAAGCATTGTAAGAGTAATTTCAAGTTCCTTCCCTATATACCTGTTTCTTCTTACTTTGCTTGCTTCACTTAATTATTAATCATTTATTTTAGTGAGCATGTTTACATCTTTCTCCAACCATTTTCCTCATAATTTCTTAATTTTCCCATTCTGCCCTTGTTGTGTTCTGAAACATTTTCTGTTTGTGTGGTAACATAACAATTAACAGGTTCACTGCATTTTCTGAGCTATTACCACTTCTGGCAGTGGGCACAACTCCATTGTTGAAGGTTGACAAGATTTGTCAACAAATCTCTACCACCACCCTTACCATTGATAATTCCATCGCATTCTCCACCCCTTTTTCTACTTTCACCTCCACTGCATCTGCAAACCTTGAAGTCAAAAGTCCCTCAAGAATCCAGGTACCTTTTTATTTTTATTTTTTTACAATACAAATGTACAGACTTCCATTCGTTTGTTTATTATAGCTTAGCACCCTACTTTGACTGGAAAGTGTATCTTAATGAATTATGATTAGTATTATTAGTTTTACATATGTGATGTGACACTACAGTCATGATTGGTAGAAACTGAGAAGCATGTTGTCTCTTCATTTAAAGCAGGTATGGGGAGGTCCTTTGGTGGTTATGTTTCTGTTTCAGCTGTATAATCGCCTTGTCCAGACTAATATACCTCAGTTGTTGCCTTTGATGGTTGCTGCTATCTCAGTCCCGGGTCCTGACAAGGTTTCACCTCATTTGAAGACCCACTTCACTGAGCTAAAAGGGGCTCAAGTTAAGGTAATTTTTATCAAGATCATTCTTTTATCATCCTTTTAAGTTTTAAATCATATTTGAAGATTATACATTTATACCCTATCTTCTTCTTGCAGACTGTCTCTTTCCTGACTTACCTTTTGAAGAGCTTTGCTGATTATATCAGACCACACGAAGAAAGCATTTGTAAAAGCATTGTGAACCTGCTTGTTACTTGTTCAGACTCTGTTTCCATTAGAAAGGTGATAAATACTATGATACAACTTCGATCTGGTACAACTTTGATATCTCTGTTTAAAGTGTCAAGAAAATTTCCTCCCCTTATTCTATGTGCTCTTTTTGTTAGGTGGAGCCAATTTTTGAGAAAGGTGTTGATCTGCCACCTATGGATGAAGCCAATATTTTGTTGGTAAGTTTTTGTGTGACTTCTTTACTTCTTTCTGGAGATGCAACTGATAGTATATATATATATATATATATATATATATATATATATATATATATATATATATATATATTCTTTTATATACCATGAGACTTATCTGTTATCTATACTTTCTTTGGTTATTTTCAGGTGAATGAATGTGAATCTATCTCCCATAGAATTGGTGAACTTATCTCTTTAGATGGTGAAAATGATCAGAAAACAAGTTCATATCCAAACATACCAAATGATTTTTTTGAAGAGATGGAATCTTCATGGAAAAACCGTGTTAAAAAGATCCATCTAAAAGAATCATATGAAGAGGTTGATAAAGCTGCTGAAGCCTTATCTTTAGCAGTAAGTGTTCTTCCTTTGCTTCCATAGTTTGTTATTATTATTATTATTATTATTATTATTATTATTATTATTATTATTATCTTGTAGTAAGTTAACAGATGCCAGGTGGCATTTTTTGTAAGGTTACAGAAGATTTCCTTCCTATAATTTCAAGAATAAAAGCTACCACAACACCATTTGGAGGTGAGAGAGGAGAAATCACATATGCACGTGAGCATAAATCTGTTTGGTTTAAAGGAAAAAGATTTGCTCCTTCTGTTTGGGCTAATACCCCTGGAGAAGAACAAATAAAACAACTCAAACCTTCGCATGAATGGTGAGGTATGTATATGTATAAAATATAAAATATAAAATATAAATATCACCATATTTCATACCAACAAATACTAATTTATAAGTGTGTATACAGGTGACTACTCATTTTCTGAAAATGGTGACTTTACTTGATGATAGTGTTGGCCAATATGTGGAGTTACAGTTTGAAAGAGGTGGAACACCTTTAACTGTTCAGTTAAAGGTAAGTAACTATATTCTCTAATTCTCTAGAATCATGCCAAGATTTTGTAAAAGTCAAAATACTAGTCAATGATACTAAAATTCTCCATATGTTATTGTTATCTTCAGGTGGAAGATTTGCACTCCATAACTCCAAACCATTTTCTTGAAGTTAGTGGTGCTGTTATACACCCTCTCTCCTATCAATAGGCTAGGAATTTTTGTTTTCACTGTGGTCTTGTATATGTATCAGAACTTGGGTAAGTAATAAGTTAAGTTAAGTTGTTTAAAATTTATTTAGTATGATAGCTTAACTTTTGGCATATATATGCAGTTACATGTTGTATAGAGCAGGAGTCCCACGACATGCTATTATCAACAAGTTAGCAAATAAAGACATTTCAAATCTTCAAGACTTGATCAATGTTCTTTCTAATTTATGTAAAGGAGCTAGGGTTCCTTTAGAATACATAAGCTATACAAATAGGCATAGGAGGAAGTCTGTTCTTGTTACAGTTGATCACCATGAGTGGTATCCACCACCTCAGGCTTAAAAGGTCCCTCCCTTCTTATAAATGGCGTAACAAGACCCATGCCTCTAGTTAGGATTTTGGAAGTTGAGCTTTATCCTACTTTGCTTTCTGATAGAGAATGGGTCCTATATAAATATAGGGGAAAAGATGGAGGGACTTATTTGGAATATTTGTTATTTACTGTTTTACCCCCCTATTCTAGGTGGCGAAATAATACCACGTTCTGTTCTTCTTTGTGCCTTTGAAGGTGTATGATTCTCATCTCATCTTCATCTTTATCTTCATCTATGAGGGCAAATTTGTAAAAAGTGTTTAATGTTTAATTACAGATACCTTAGTTGTTGTGTGCACTTGGGGATGGACATCTTTTGAACTTTTTACTCAACACAAGCACAGGGGAATTAACAGACAGGAAAAAGGTGTCACTTAGGAAAGAATTAAGAATGTTGTCACAGGCTGCAAGAGATGCTAGAGCCCTTAGAGAAGCTAAGGACAAACTGGAGAAGTGAGTTGAAGAGCTGACATGGAGATTAGACTTTGAAAATCATTTGAGGGTATATTTGTTTTATATTTCTTGTATCTAATTAGTTTGTAAATTTTTGTTACAACTTCTATTGATTTGTTTTATCTTTCCATGGAAGGATTATTTGTATGACATTAAATTTTATGCAATGGATTGTATTTTTTGTATATGATATTTTATTTTCTATTATGAGACATTAAATACAAATTTAATTTGAAAATTAGTAAATCTATAAATAATATTTTTTTTAAACATTTAAAATTATGATACGCAAAAATGTGTGTCATCTTCATTTATGACATGGCCTTTCTTGACAGGGGCTTTAATGATACGCAATGCGAGTCGTAAGGTTACGACACGCAAATGCATGTCATCTTTCTTTATGACAGAGCCTTCCTTGATACGCAAAGCGTGCCGTAAACGCGCGTCATAAATGTGTGTCGTAATTACGCATCGTAAATGCGTGTCGTAAATAGACGACACGCAAAAGCGTGTCGTCTCTCGTTATGACAGGGCCTTTCTTGACACGTATTTGGGCGTCGTCTGAGCGTTTTACGACACGCATTACGCGTCGTAAAAGGCTGTTTTTCTAGTAGTGTATTTCCGACTATTATTCATTTTCATATACCTATGTGACTTAAGGCAGCATTTTCTCAAAGCTTGGCGACAAGTACAAGCCTTGTAGCCATGACGCGCCATTGCGAGATTTTTAGAACATTGTAAATTAGTGATCACAATTATTGAACATACATTGAACAATACAAATATAATCTTCTATTATTATCGAAAATAGAAATTACATTTTGGATGACTATTGCTAAATTACGACACACGCCTTGTAATTTAGCATTTACAAAGGAATACTAGAATAACGGAAAGTCTTCTATGTGAACTCTTCCGACCTGATAATAAACTTGAGAATACATGCATTAAGATACATCAACAAAAGATTGTTGGTGAGTTCTACAGGTTTTGACACAAAGTACTTTTGTAACCAAAAATGTTTTATAAAATGTTAGCTAGTTGACCAACTTTTATAAATCCGTACTAATTTAATCAAAAGTATAAAATATATTTGTTATAAAAGTGTTTTTGGACTCATATATAAATATTGTTTGCTCAAATCCAAAGTACAACATTTGAAAAATATAAAAGTAATTAAAACTTATATCAAACTTTACCGTTTCTATGATCAATTGTATTTTATATAAAGATTTTGAATATCAAGTTATGTAAAATAAAGAATTGTCACACCTTGTGAAAGTATAAAATAATCAACTGCACTCTCGTAATTTTGTACAAGTGGCTGTATCGTTTATTTGTATAACTTATAAATTTTGAGTTTATAAAACTAGTATGGTCGTATCGTAGTATTTATTAAGTGTCATCTTATTTAATTTGGAATCGACATCCATTCAGTGGGACAAAATCTTCCTACATAAACATTGTGTTTACGTGTCACAATAATTCTTAAGTATCATATTAAACATTTATGTTTGTGTCAGGAGAATTTGTTTCACTAAAAATGATTTCGTACAAAAATGAAAGGTTTGTATAAATAACTTATTAAATGTAAGTTAATAAACTTTATTTAGTCGGGTCATGAATTTAATTAAGTATATGACTTAATTTTAGTAATGACACTTATCATTATGAGTCACAACTATCCAATTATGTATTATCTCTTTCAATTTCTATATGTCAACAAAACCCCGCAATCCTATTTCAGATCTATACGGTAACGAAAAAAATCAGTGATCTATAACGAGCTCATAACAGAACTGTGACTCGAAGCCTCTGCACCAGCACTACAAAGGGGAGTGTTGAAAGTCCACATCAACGCTTAGTAAACGGCGTGGAATAAGTAGTATCGAAACGTCAACGCCTATTTTTGACTCGTCATACGATGGTTGTAGCTAGAAACTGTTGGCCTGATGTCTACCCGTATAAATCGGTACCGTCGATCTATACATGACGTTCCACGTTCCATAGCGATTAACGATTATAACGCAGAGGACATTGACTAAAACATACAATCATTGTGTAGACAAAAACATAGCCCATATATCTTAGAAAAATGATTCTAGCTCCTATGACTTTTAGAAACGAACATTGCTCATATAGAAAGTCTCGTGAGTGTTGGATCCTAACAATGTGTCTAGGCTTCCTAATCCTAAGTTTTTTATTATAAGTTCATTGAACACCTAACATAGTCTAAAAAAGCTAGTTCTAAGTTACCAAACATAGTCTAAAAAAGATTAACAAAGTATGGAGATTTGTTAATTATTAAAACAAAACAAATTATTAGACCTTAAACTCAACAACGCATGTTGTCTATGAATCTTATTAGTCAAACCATTACATGATTGAGTGTCGAAACAAGAAAAGGGGTTATCTCGTACTGATTATTAATTTATATATACACGAAAACATCATATTTGATTAATCTAAAAAATAAAAATATATTTGTGGGATTAATTAATAGCTGAAAAACAAGATAATAAGTTAGTTATTAGATGATAAGCTAACAAATAAAAATATAGTTTGATAACCATGAAAAAAAAAATTAATGATTCATATAAATCACTTAGTGGGAAATGGCCCGAAAAAATTCAACCAGTGATTATTTTTATTATAGGATCTATATAATGATAAAATAGTTAAAATATATAAAAATGACGTTTAGAAGATTGATTTTTTTTAGAATTAATAAATAATATATTTAGGAGAATTATATAAAAATCTCCATAAGATCGTTGAAACGCTAGTATAACTATTTTTTTGAAAAGTTAATGTAAGACATATTTTTTGTTTTGTCAAACAAGACACTCAAAAAAATTCAAAAAATAAACTAACTTATGAGTTATTTGTGGCGCATGAAATATAACATAAGTGCATACATGTATGATGTTTATAAACAAGTTAGACGTACGTAGGTCTCTTGTACATGCAAAAAATTTACATACTAAAGTTATAGATAAATGTAAGTTGTTAAATGAAATAAGTCATTTCAATCGGTGGTGGAGCCAGAGTCAAAGTAAAGATGTATCCCAAACCGATGAGTTCGGTTTTTCGTTTTTTTGGTTTTCCAAACTCAGTTTCGTGTTTAAACCCAAACTCATTCGAAAGTTTAACTTGCTGAGAATTTAGAAGCTTGTATTGCTCATATAACAGATGTATAGGAGCTATGTTTTATGTTATGGCCGATGTGGGACATTTTAGAATTATAAAAAAAAAAGTTGAAGGGATATATGATAGAAACTGATAAAAAAATACACCCATGTCAAGGCCGAGATTCGAAATATGAACATCCAAGTTAAAAGTCCAACGTTTTACCACCTAGACAACTTAGTACCTTTGTTTAATTTTCACAACATCATAATATAATATAATATTATATATATATATATATATATATATATATATATATATATATATATATATATATATATAATCTGCATAATGCTATATAAAATCCCTTTATATAGATGCGAAAATAAATGTTAGTAAGAAGATTTGAAGTTGCAAGCTCCAGAAAAACACTCTATTGTCATAACCACATAAACCAACTACGACTTTTGTTATTAATTCGCTAA